GCGCAGCCCAAACACAGGACAGGCCGGGAGGAGGCGCGGGACCAGAAGCCCGCTCGCCAGGCTAGGGGGGCTGCCGCGTCCGTCCGCCGCAGGAAGGCCGCTTGCGGACGGTGGCGAAGGAGGCCCGCCTCGGGCCTGGAGTCTTCTAGGTCAGGCCGTGAGAGACCGCTTCGGAGACGTGTTTTGAGGGTGACCCTGCTAAAGGGTTGCCACCTTTTTCCTAGCACAGGGCTGCCCTGCTTTTCACAGTTGCACAAAGGACAGAACTTCCAGCACTTAAAAGCTTCCTCCACATTACCAGATCTTTGTCCTGAGAAAAACCTTTGCCTTCTTTTATTAATTTCCTTCTTTTATGCTAAAAGCAGGCAGGAGGGGAACTGAAAGCCCTAATGCTCTGAAAACCTGCTGCTATCGGTGTCTTGAGGAACGGGAAAGGCAAGCTGCGTCTTACATGCTCTTCTAAAGAAATTTCCAAGTCTTGCTGATATCTGTTTGGGGTGCGAGATTAAAGAAGTGAGATAGTTAGGCCTGAAAAGATAGTGGATAGTTATAGGAACTCTTGGGGGAAAAATTGGGATGGCAATTCGAACATAAAGTCACCGTGTTGTGATGAATGGCTTCAAGCCATACTGCTTTCAGAAAGATGCTCGGAGACACAGAACAAGTTCAGCTTTATTTCTACTGGGCCATCCAGTTGTTTGAAAATGGAGCTTATAAAATCCACCAGTTCTTTATATATAATATTAAACTAAGGAAAATCTAAATCAGTTACATATTTGCACTGATTTCTGGAGGAAATTGCTCCATTATTATTTTGCTGTTAACTTGTACTGAATGAAGAAAATCTTGTAATCAGCAGTATCAAAGTACATCAACCCATGAAGTGTATTTTGGACTTATCGGATATGCTTTATGAATATTGTTAGTATACAATAATAGGAAATGAAGGAAGCTATTTAAAAAGGGAATCCTTTTGACTTCATAGATTATTCATTCACTTTGTAAATGGTTTACAATGTAGTAGGAATTTTAAAACCTTTGTTTCAGCACTAGTTTATAATGCTGGAGTAACTAGGCACACATACCTCTTTCTCATCACAATAAAAGGTACTTCACCAGACAAATATCATCCCTGGGAATATATCATGTTTTAAGTGTAGAAAGGATCTGTGACATTAGTTGGCTTAAACTCATTCTGTTTCCAAAAAATGGCTAATTGATTGTTGCACATATATATTCATAACCCAAAAAAGCTGAAAACTGTCCACTGCTAGGAAGATAGTTTACCTAAAATACAGAGCTCATATTTCAGGCAACTGAATTTTAGCAAAAGTTACAGTGTTTAAAATAGGTTAATTGACTGAAATAATGCTTAATTGACTGAGAAGTCGTTAAAAACACACATACACCCCAACATAGAACTACTTAAAAAAGATAGTATCTAATTTTATTCCATAAAGAAGGGTATGATGTTCGCTAAAACACTTGGACCTTATCTAAAAACAAAGCCAGCTTCTTGCCTGAGAAACATGGAGTTTTGCTTATGTTTTATGCAATCTGAAGCATCTGATTAATTGGCTAAAATTGGTTAACTGGTTACTATTGTTTAAAATCAAGTTGCATCCCTAGCTTCAGTTCATCTTTCAAGTGTGGACAAATTAAGCAGTCTAATTACAGGCATGCATCTTCAAAAGTCAGTTCCAGAAAGTTCAACAAGACTTGATTGAGATTATGCATCAGGTTATAATTTTAGTTACAGTACTTAAAACATTGCATTAAATACTTTCTTGTAAAAAGGAAAAAAAACTTAAAGCCACACTTTGGTTTTAGTCACTTAATTTAACTCCCCATGAAGGGAAAAATGCTAACTCTATTCTGGGACCACTTGCAATCTGCCTGAGGTCTCTGTTTATAAACTGTGAGTTTCTGATACCTTGGCACTAATTGAGCGCCAGCACTTCAAGTGTTGTGGGTGTATTAAGAGCTAGGATTCCAGCAACAGGCTATTAGCAGTTCCTTGAGTAAATCTTTGTAGATTTCCTCCTACTTCCTATTATTCTCCACCCCCCACACACACACTGCCTGCCTGCCTTTCTTAACTGCAGAAGCTACTGCAGAAAATGGTCTTGTTGACATTGCTTCTAGCTTCTTAACACTTATGGGGACATTAGGCGCCAGTTCAAATACACTGCACTCCTGCTCACGCTGTACCTGCTCACTTTATAAACACAGCTTCTATCTGTCAAAATATATTGGCAAATATTTTGCATAGACGACAACTTCTACATATACTAGACAAAAGGTGAGTTCACATTGTATGTCGCTACAGCAGGTATCTCTTCTAAACAGTAAAGTTCTCATTCAGCCCAGGAATATCTTCTCACTGAATGTTTTTATTTTTAAAGCTATTTTGAAGGAAGTTTTGTCTTGCAAATAAGGAACCTTAAGGAAAAAGGGGAGGGTTTGCTGTACAGGACCTATATGAAAGTTGGTGTTAACCTACAGCCAAATTTATACACAGCCTTTGTTGAGCATCAAAGTCAGCAATCATAGTTAAATAAGAGTGTGACTTCAGGGTAAGCAAGAACGCTATCACTATAAATCTTGTATGGGTATAATTCATCTACTGGTCCTAGTGGGAAAAAATCCTGAAATTAGGTATTTTAGGGTTAACAATTTTGTTTCTGGTAGGGTTCCTTTCCAGCTAAATGACATGCAGAAATTTAGCAGAGGATGCCTACCATCTCCTTTGCAGTTCAGAGATACGGAATTGGGGAGACCCCTCTTGTTGAATTTTGGCTGTCACAAGACATAGGAACACCATTGGCGGGGAAGAAGTTGGCAATCCTAAAACAGTTCCTGGCAAATAGGAAACAGTGCATTGCATTAGGTGAATATTGTTGTGACTGGAAAACAGTTGAGATTAAAAATGCTGCAGCTCCTTGGCCAGCAAAGCCAGAAACGAGGTGCCACACATAAAAGCAAGGATGCAAAGTTGTTCCTTCTCAAAAGAGGCCTTTGGCAAATGGATCTGATTGTAGTAGTAGCAGTTGTCGATTATGATCCTTTAGACCTTCCTTTTAACAAAAACTATGGAAGGAGATTTACATACCATATAAATGGAAAGCAAGATAAAATGAATCTTAAAACTCCGAAGCAAACAACACAAAAATTTGTTTATGAACCGTCTTTCAAGTAGAGAGGTGAAGCTATAGAACACCAGGAGTAATCACCGCTTATAAAACGAAAGATCAACATGACACTTTTTACAGTTCAGTGTATTGGGTAGAAGCCACTTTATACCCTGATTTAATGTCACAACGGATTTGAAGGAAATAAGGTTTAGTTTTAAGTAAATAACATTTTAGATCACAGTTAAGTTCTTGAATAGGCATTTGTGTCGGGAATGATTGTGGTGGAGAAGCTGCTTAATTTTTGGTTAACGAGATGGACAGGTAGATTTAACATGATTGGAATATTTGTAATACATTTTTGCTTGGATGTTTAAAGGCTCCATACTGACCATATCAAGGTTTCAAGTGAAACATCCCAATTCCTTCTGGAGCCATGGAGAAATAAAGAAAAAGACCCGTCAGCTAAGTAAGCTGTCTGGCGCCCGAGTCTGGAGCACACTTAACTTGGAAATAAGTTGATCTGCAAACAATGGCAGCTTCTTCGAAGCGCATGTGTTGGGGATGTAGCTGGACCCGAAACTCCTCCAGCGCTGCAGCTATTTCAACGGCAGTCTAGATGCTGGGATGCACCTGTTCCTGTGGTATTTCGGGAAGCGGGATAGTAAGGAAGGTCCCTTCCCCACCCAACTGACAACCAAAACAAACCTAACCCTATTAAGGCAGACCTGCTGCGAAGGAGCAAACTGCAGCTTCTCCTTGTGAGAGGTCTTTCTCAGCCAGGCAGATACGGAATGCAGGGCTCCAATTCCCCGCGGATATTCCTAGAGGTTTCACTGGGGAAAATCAGAAGAGGGCTTTCGCTATGGTGGTCTAACGAAGGGTTGCAGGGTGGCTACCGCACACGATGCTTTCCGAAGGAGGCTTGCCTTCGCGTCGCATACTTCTGGCGAGTGGGCGGTGAAACACTTTTGTCAAGCACTCCGTCCTGTTTAGAGAGAGTGGGGTACATACCGGGAATGCAGCGAGTGGCTGTGTAAGGCGTGGGGCAACTGTGCGGGCGACGGAGAGGAACATCAGCTCGGTTTTTCGCGTTAGTTGTATGTTTTATTTACGGCTCGGGAATGTGCGAACCGGCAGGACCCGCCGGGAGTGAAATTGACATGCCCGGAAGAAACCAGATCTCTGCAGAACTGATTGCGGAGGATAGGTGGAAGAGTGAAATTGACAAAGTGGAAATGATTTGCCCCTCTGTCTCTCTGTGGGGAATCTGCGGTATCTCTCTATCTAAAATACCAGGCAGTGACTAAGGGCCATTAGTTTCGAGCTCCCCTCTCCCCCTAAAAGTGACTTCCCACCGGGGAAGATAAAGCAGGCGATAGAGTTTCTTAAATAGTCGCCCCTCTCCCCCTTCCTGGCCTTATCAGGCGGAGATAGTGCCGCTGGGCAGGGCTGGGTCACGTTATCTGTGGTCTTGGCTGCCGTCCCCAAACTCTCCCTGTCATGAGAGACGCCACCCGCATTAGGACCCAGACTGGACTCCTTCCGTCCTCAGTCACTCACCAAATCCCCCAGACCCCGCCGAGGCGGGCAGCTCTTTCCCAGGAGTATTAGGCAGGCTCCGAGTCAGAGCCTCAGGGGGCTCTGCAGAGGGGCGCAGGGCCGGCGCTGCGCCGCGCCCGCGCCCGCGCCTGCTCGGGGTCCCGGGGCGCCGGGCGCTGCCCTCTCCCCGGCCGCCTGCTCAAGGAAGGCGGTGGGGGAGCCGCCCCGGGGCCGCGGAAGGGGTGGGCGCCCGGAGCGGGCTGGGCGCAGCCAGGCTCCCGCGGACCCGCTGCGGCAGCGGAGGAGGGCACGCACCGAGGGGAACTGCGCGAAGGGGCCGTGGCGCCCCCCTTTCCGGAAGCCTGGATGCGTATTAAAATCAAGCCTATTGTGAAAAGCGAAGCAAAAGCCCCAAGGCTGCAATCTTAAGCATAATTACATGGGAGTGAAGCCCCAGGAGAAAGGGGGTTTTACTTGGGAGCAAGCTTATTTGGTTTGCTTTGCAATGGGGTGCTCGCAAGAGGCCGTTTGCCAAAAACACGGTTCGTGTCTGGGTGCTAAATGTTTTTTCCGCAAGTTAAGTTCTGCCGTTTGGAAGAACTTGCTTCAAATTCCTGAGAGGGTTGTCGAGGTCTCGGGCTGGTGGTTTAGGTTCTGTTCCGCTCTCAGCCGATTAATTGACCTAGTGCACCTCTATAATAAGAGTATTCCAGCGTATGCCGACTATTAAATACAAATTATTTAACATTCTCATAAAATGCATAGATGATGCTTCTAGACTCATGAACTGAGAACAGAGAGAGAACCTAGCCGTAGTCACGATGTTTGGTAGAAACCAATGCGACCCTTTGATATGTGACAACTTGAAAGCAAGTGTCACTTAAATAAGGGAGAATTAACAAGAAATGTTTCCAAAGAAGAGTGCAGGAAGAAGTGGGCTTTTGCAAACGGTTTGTTAACAGGAATTGCGGGAACTGGGCACCCCATTTCTCACATAAGTATGGCTTGGCTACCCACACTCCAACACTTTTAATGGGATATACACTAAATAGGCATCCTTATCTCCATTACAGAGCTGGTGGCTAAATACTTCTTCAAATGTCAATTAAAGCAGGGTCCGGCACTTCTGTTTTAAACGGTTTTAGTCTTCGGATCTACATAATACAAGGAAGTATATGTATTACCAGGAAAAATTAAAATCTGATGAAGAGATTCAAAGTACACGAGATTGCGTTGAATGTAGTTCCGATAGAGTCCATTACAGTGCACCCCGACTCAGAAGCAGTGGGACTTGCTCCCAGGTAAGTGTGTGTAGGATTGCAGCCTTAAAGACTCCACTTCCAATTTAATAAATTGGGCAGCCAGCAAAACACGGTCAGCTTGAGCGCTGCCCAGTTGGAACTTGCGAACTAAAGAGAAGTTAATAGTTTTTGGACTTGCCTGGGTTAGATTGATGGGATAATTGTTCTTGTTAATGAATACTACTGATTAATTATTAGAGCTTTCATTCCTTAGGAGAGAAGAAATGTGAAAGGATTGCAGAATCATTGGATGAAAATTCTAGGAGACCAGGATTTCCCCTCTTAACGAGGGAATCTCATGTGAACTTAGCTGTGAGGAAGTATCACTGAACTACATAGGAGTTAATTCTAGGTAGACATACAAAATATTCTGATTAGAAAGGGGGAAAGTTAAGGCTCTGTGAAATGAACACAAGGCAGTTGGAGAAGTCTGTTCAGTCTTTTTGTGTGCTGATTTATAGCTGGCTACTGTCCACGGATTCTGAGTACAAACCTGTATACCTACTTGGGAATAAATCCCATTGAACTTAATGGATCTTCTGAGCTGACCTGCCTAGGTTAGCATTGTAAACCTTCAGTTCTCTCAGCCAGACACTAGATAAAGGCTGCATATTCCCGTTAGTTATGGTGCCACATTACAACGATGTGCTAGAATGGATTTTTCTTTTTTTCTTTAAAATCGTGAGTGAATTTCAAAAGCGTTGCAGATATTTAAACCTGCTATTCATCCCTGCCCCATCTCGGCATCCTTGCCTGAATCGCTGATCTCGTGTGTCCACCCATCCTCATTTATTTACCTACATTGAATAATGGCCTTTTGGAGCTCAATAACTTCAGATCGTTTCTACCCTGTTGAGGTGCGGTGGGGAGGGAAGGGGAAGGGGAAGGGGAAGGCGAAGGAAGGAAGGAAGAATTTCCCAGAAGATAGGGGGGAAAACCCCTTGGCTCAGAAACAGAACACAGCTAGGGCGAAAACGTGCTGTAGAAGACGCGCGTTTAAGAAAACAACGGAGCAAAGGCGGCGTTTCCTGGCAGCCCTTCTAATCCCGTGCTCTCTAAAAATTCGTATTTTTTCACAGAAGTGTAGATTTTTGTCCAGGTTCTCCTAGGCAAACCATTTGGCCTTTCCCTCCGAAACCACAAGAGCGATTGGCTGAAGTTCGTTGCTATCGGAGGGAGAAATAACTGAGACGGGAAGCACGCTATGATGCCGGCGGCAAGACGCAGCGACGAGGGAGCGGTGCGTGCCAAGCGCCAGCCGGCGACCGGGGCGAAAAGCGTCTCCGGAGGCGACGGTTCCCAGGCGGAGTCCGCGGCCGCTTGCACCGGGCGCCTCCGGCCCGCTGCCTCCTCCTCCGTCGCGGGCTGCGGCTGCCCCTCCGCCCCGACACGGCGGGCGGCGGAGGCCCGCGGTTCCCCCGGAAGGCGCGCCGCGCAGGGCGCATTTCGGGTCGGAACCGGGCTCTTCGGGGAGAGGCGAGCGAGGCGAAGGCGCGGGTTGTGCGCGGGGCACACGCGGTCCGAACAAGCGGCTCTGTTGATGCGGCACCCAAACCTCGTGTCGTGTCGTGTCGTGTCGTGTCGTGTCCAGCCCGGGGGTTCCGTGACAAATCGCGGCTTCAAGCGGACGTTTCATCGCGCAGAACCAGGACCTGGTGGGTGCGGACACGGAGCGGAACTCCGGGCTCGAGTCGCCCCATACTAGACTGCTCCGCATAATAAAACATGATAACCTTGATTCATGTCCCGTTGTTGTAATAACGTGAAGCTGTTACGGATACGAGATTGTGATTAATGTTTATGAGGCTTAACGAATCATGATCTTCATTCGTCGCAATCATTACGCGAGTTCGTTTCAAAGGTATGTTGGTGGAACTTCTGGCTTTTGTAGCCTGAAGGCAAGAGAAATGATTTATTATTTTAATTCTGGCCTAGGAGTGGGCCAATTATTCTCATTCTCAGCTAAGGCACTGAAGGAATGTAACGCCGATGAGACAACTGCCTTCTTCATTGAAGAATCTCGCCTGCTGTAATTAATGCGTACAATGGAAACCAGCCTTCCCTTACGTTTCATGGCTCATTTATTGGTGGAAAACAGGGAAACACATCTGACAAATAAAGAGAAAGTACAGAAGCCGTTGTTTGTCGTTTCTGCTAGAGACTGCATTTTTAGATTCTCTGTTGTGTCCACATATTGGGAGGGCGTTGTTATTTTTGCTCTCTGTTTGCAAGAGAGGCGGATGTGCTTCTGTTTTGGTTTTGTGTGGAGCAGGGGAGGTTAGCCCTGGTCCAAGTACTTCCCTTCAAGAGATTTCAGTTATATTGTGGGAATTAACCGAGGCATTAATGATTAAGGAAATAATGCTGAAGGAGTCCCCTTCATGTCCTTGACTTTTCCTTTCCCTCCAGCATTTTTCGACAGAAATCTGTCTGAATTAAATGCTTCGTCAGTCTATGGATCAGCAGGGGTGACATAGTCACTAGATTATAAGCAAAAAGAAGGTGCTGTATTTTTTAAAAAGATGAAAAAACATCCAATTTAAATATGGCACATTTACAAAAGAAAGGGGTTATCTTTCCAAAATTAACCACTGTGTGCACCCACTCGGGAGACACAAATGTCACTGGGTGTGAAGGGACTGGCTGTGGAATAAGCATAAAAAGCACCAACATACTATTACTCAGTGGGAGACTGCATTATTATTTTCAATCAATTATGCACATCCTAATTTTTGGAATACTATTACATTCTGTTTATTGAACCTCTTGATGACAGAAATGTGTGCGCTGTTTATGGTGTTTTAACGATGAGAACCAGAATGTTGCACAGGAAAAAATGAGATCCTGCCAATATTTCAATTAATAGCATGTCTGTCCTCTTCCTTCTCCCACTGCAGAGCAGTGCAGTTCTCCAGTGCGATACACAGGGAAAGGGGGTTGAATGCCCCAAAGTGCATGGCCATCTCCAAAGTATAAGTGTGTGCGTGTGTGTGCGTGTGCGCGCGCACGCAAGACAGAGAGAGAGAGAGAGAGAGAGAGAGAAACAGCCAGACAACCAGATAGACAGACAGCTTGCAATAAGAATGGAGTGTGTGTGCATGTGTGTGTGTGTGCATGCCATTTTTCATTTTTTCCCTAGTGCCATAGCCAGGTAATTTTAGAGTCTGGACTGAATGGTGTGCCAAGCAACTTCCTCCTTAGATGGAGATGCATATCGCTTGGTAAGCCAGCCTTGTGCCTGGGCAGTGGTGCAACAACAGTTGGACTTAGGGGCCAAAGCTCAGCACCCCCCCCCCCCCGCCCGTCTCAGTGGCCACCAGAGAGTGGCAGGTGCTAAAGGCATCAAGGCAGATCAATCAAATTCCATTTTATTCTTCTAGTAATGGTGGTACTGTGACTCAGGTGAGTTTAAACTGGAAAACTACATATCCTCGGTGTATTTGTGTGTGTGTGTGTGTGTGTGTGTTAAATCAGGGCTGGAAAATAGTCGGATTTTGTTACTGTAATATATCAGGAATGTAGAAGCAGTTGTAAACTTATGGAACAGAGATGGAGGAGAAGGGGAGAGAAGAGAAATGTTACTCCCATGCTTCAGAACTGCACTAAATCTCATGAGCATCTAATGGGATGGCCCACAAGACCATGAAGTCAGGCTACTCAAAAGAAGAGGCTACCCATAGGCGCCTCCCCAGGTTTTAATATCATCTGAGAGGTCCTTCTCCAGGCCCATGATTGCGTTTCAGAGACGCCTTTGGTGGGGGGGAGGGGTGAACGAGGGCCAACTCGGTGCTGCTCCCAACCTGTGGATCTCCCTGGCGAGACAGGCAAGATCTTCTCCTCTGGTGTCTTTCCATTGGCAGGCAAAGGGTTTAAAAAAAATGTATTTAAGCAGGCCCTTGGCATGTAAGCTAGTCTCTTGGGTTGGATGCTGTATTTATTCTGCTGTTAAGGTGTTCTTAATGCATTTGATTTATTATAGCTATAACCAAAGTTTGTTTGTAATTTTATGTCTCCTTAAGCACCTTTTTTCTTGGTAAACACGTGAGGTATAAATCTACTAGCATGATAAAATAAAAGTCCAGGGTCTAAAATCACGTAGTGGCACCAGTGCTGCTGAGTGGGGACCTGGACCCAGCCCCATCCGGACGTCCTAGCACTCTCTCCCCACCTCCCTCCCCATTCTGCTCATGCAACTTTAACAGCCTGACACTCTGGAAGTAAGGAAGGCAAATCTTTTCCTAGTACTTTTCTCCTTTGTCAGGGGAACAAAACCCAGGACTTCTCCTGCTTAATTTCTGTGTGTCAAGTTCCTCTTAAGGAAGGCACAAGAGGATGTCCAGAACAGAAAAAATGGCCAGTGATGGTAGCAACCATATTAAAAATTTCTCTTGGATAGAAACTGCAGGACTGCTGCTTGTTAACCTCTGTCTCTCTTTCCTTCCAAGTTCTTTGTTTCTTCGCCTCCTCTTTTCTCCAATTTAAATTTTATTTGCTTATTTAAAATATCTCTTGGCTATCTTTCAGGGTAGGAGCTCCCACAACAGACTAGCTTACTAGTCATGTAAGAAAAAACAGCAAAATCAGTAAACATCCTTTAAAAATCAGCATAAAACCTACCTACAAAACATAACTGAAGTTACAACCCTGCCTGATAAGACAATCAAGGGAAGGCCAAAGTAAAACATTACATTTTCAGGACCCTTTTGAATGAGTGCAAGGACCGCTCCTTTCTCCTGAGTGTGGGAGAAGGGTTTCGTCAGCTAGATGTACCACTAAGTTACATGGGATGAGGAGCTATTTGGAAGGCAGCAGAACTAAAAGTTGGATGTTAAATATGGAGAATGTTTAGGGGAATAAGTAATTTTGCAAGGCTATTCCTGCACACTTTTACAAGCTCCTTCTTCGGTTATAGCATGTATTTCTGAGGAAATGAGCAAAGATCCCATCTTTCTGTGATGTATGGTTGCTAACCTTTGCTTCTGATCAGGATTTTGCATAAGTAAACTGAAATTCAGCAGGCTTCTGGGACATAGTGACAGGAAGGTCTTCTCTTCCTGAATATTTGCATGTTGGGCACAAACAAACCACCAGCAGCAAGAAAGCAAGCGGGCAACTCTACCTCTAATGACCATCCTCCATTCCCATTTGGTGATGGGCCAGAGCTCAGTGACACAGCACAGGCTTCTAGGCCCCTTTCCCCCATATCTCCAAGCAGGACTGGGGAGAGTCCTGCCTGTTTGACATCCTGGACAGCTGCTTCCAGTCAGTGCAGACAATCATGGACTGAATGGATTTGGGGTCTGACAGGTAGCTCCATTGTCCATCCATATCAGGCCATCCATGAGTTCAATTGGAGCACACTTACTTGGGAGGAAACCCCATTGAGCTCAATAGCTTGCTTCTGATTCCACCTGCATAAGATACAGCTGCACATAATCTCAAACTCTCCATGGGACTGGCATCTGAGCTATTCAGTTCTGAAGGGTATTGAGGAAGGAATGCAGCCTAGTTTTAAAAGCTCTTTCTCTTCTCAGCACAAGCTTCTAACAGTTGTGCGTGTGCTAGAAATTCAGAGTGAAAGCATCACAGAGATGCACTGCTGAAAACATTCCACCTGTTGAGTTTTGCCCTAGTACAAAAAAGATACAATAGCTCAGCAGAAGCAAAAGGTAGTACTTAGACATGGAGAGCTGGAATGCCAAAAGTCTTCTGCCTGTTTTTGTTTGTGGCAAAGGGCGCTAACAATTATTCAGCAAGTGCAGTGAAAAGATGGTCTGCTTAGATGAAATACAGGAGGGAAAAAGTAAATTCAGTGCAAGAGGGACCCCAGTAGTCTACGATTTTAATTTTATTCAAAATTATTTTAGACCACTTTAAGGGCAAAAGTCAATTTCCAAGTAAGCTTGGCCTATAGCTCCTCCTTCCACTCCCTTTCCCTTTCAAAGCATCTTTTCCCACTCCAGTGGTTTTCAAACTCTTTGAAGGAAGCTGGGGTTTCTCAAGTGTGTAAAGAATTTCTCTGTGAGAACATGGGCAACAGCAGAGGTCCATTCTGCATCTTGCCTTACAACTGGGCTGGGAAGTATTGGATATCCTCCAGGCTGGATCGGGATTCTGTCTGAACTGCACTGCCTGGTTGAGAGGTTCCTCAGCAAACCAGGGGATGAGGACAGAATTGCTTGAAGGCTGACAGTTTTGGAAACGGCCACCTTAAGATGGAGCTGCAAGGGCTTCTTTGCGTGGCCTGATTTGGTTTCCAGTCTCCCTGATGTCTAGGCCTGTGGACTGTCAGGGCTATCCACAGCCTGCCCGCCTTATCAGGCCTGTGGTAATTAGGGGTTAGAGGTGGTCGATAAGGGGGGATTCAATGGCCCTGACTAGCAGCAGCTACATTCTCAAGCAGGAACAGTCAGAGTCTGCCCTTTCCATTGCTGGTGCTTTAGGGTGGCACTCTCCTTTGCAAGGGGAAGAGTCTTGGGAGGCCTTGGACAAGGAACTGGGTTCAGTCATGTTGGATTTGACTCTCCACCAAGATGCAGGCCTTTTCTAGACTGGAGGGACTCTAGAGTGGCATTTTTAAAAAATCTTAGCTTTGCAAAGGTTGAGTGAACATGAAGGTTTCCTTCATTTGAACCACCTCTTTAGGATGCCTGCTGCCAGTCATCGTGACTTCATCATCAAGACAGTCTTTCCTTCCCCACCCCCTACTTTTCAAAACAGTTTGCCTTATGAGGCCATCTGGAAATCTCCAAAGCTTACCATTTTGTGACAGCTGAATTGGCCCTATTACAAGAACATGGATTTTGGACTTAAATGTTTTTGTAGCTTGGGCTGCCTCTGACCTTCTTGGGTAGGGTGAATCTGAGTCTGGGAGGAGACCAAAACTTTCACAGAAATGGCAGCTTCATTGGGCAGCATTACATCCACAAGATCACAGCATTATATGCAACACAAATTAGTCCAAGTAATTACTATCCTAACCATTACTTTTACTCTGATCCAATGAACATCTACTGGGAAGTAATTCCCATGGTGTTCAATGAGCTTATCCCAGGTAGGTGTGTATATTGGGGCAGACAACCTCTGGGCATCCAGAACCATTTCCCTCCCATAATCTACCAGGCACTGTTCCCC